TTTTTTTTGAGTTGGCGTTTCACTCTGTCACCCAGACTGGAGTGCAATGGCCACTCCCGGTCACCGCAGCCTCAACCTGCTGGGCTCCGGTGATCTGGAACTACAGGCGTGCGCTACCATGCCCGGCTGATTTTTTGATTTATTATAGAGATGAGGTCTTGTCAAGTTGCCCAGGCAGGTCTCGAACCCGCGGGTTCAGGCAATCCACTCACCTCGGCCTCCCAAAGTGCTGGGATTACAGGCTGAGCCACCGAGCCCGGCCTCCACATATTTAAAATAAAAAATTTTTTTTAAAAAAAGAAGATTCTGATTATCACACTCTTGGCTACAAAAAAACTAATCGCTGTACACTGGTCCAAGAAGTTAATGATGAAACAGAATGAAATATTCCAGACTGAGTGATGCATAATAGACAACCTGTGAAAATGACCTTTAATGGGAGGGTATGTAATTTAAAGAAGGAATACTCATCACCAAAAGCACTGCCTGTGACTCCCGGATATTAAAATTCAGAATACCTAACTAGGAATCTCTGACAGAAAAGACTATAGTCAGTTCTCATTAATTTTACTAGTTATGTTCTATAAAGTCACTGCATAATGAGTCATCAAACACTCAGTCATTATACCTAGACAAAAATAAATGGTTGGCCAGGCATGATGGCTCATGTCTATAATCCCAGCACCTTGGGAAGCCAAGGCAGGAGGGGTGCTTGAGGTCAGGAGTTTGAGACCAGCCTGGGCAACATAGCAAGACCCAATCTCTCCAAAAATTAAACTTAATTAATTAATTAATGGTTAGCTATGGTTAATTTATTCCTATAAGACTCTGGTCACAACATGTTCATCAACCAATGAATATATAACCTTCCAGATCTACATACAGACAATATAAAACCTTTTGTGTATGTTTCTATTTAGACACTTTAATATGTATTACTGGATCATTAACACTGAACTTACAGTCAACAGCACTACCACTCATTCTGAACAAAACTTATATAACACTTATTTTCTTTTTAAGGCAATCACAGCCTCTTTGTGGTTAGGAACACCAGACCACACTTCATTACATTTGGGGACCATGCATCAAAATCACCAACAAAGCCGGGCTCGGTGGCTCAGCCTGGAATCCCGCACCTTTGGGAGGCTGAGCTGAGTGGATTGCCTGAGCCCGTGGGTTCGAGACCCGCCTGGGCAACTTGGCGAGACCTCATTTTTACAATAAATCAAAAATTAGCCAGGCATGGTAGCACGCACCTGTAGTTCCAGCTGCTTGGAAGGCTGAGGCGGAAGGATCGCCGGAGCCCAGCAGGTCGAGGCTGCAGTGGCCGGGAGCGGCCACTGCACTCCAGTCTGGGTGACAGAGTGGGACTCCAACTCAAAAAAAAAATCACCACCACCCTTTGGAAGGAGCACAAATAAGATCATTCATATTGTTAGCATAGTTCTTTATTCTACATTCTTTCCCTTATCGACATGAACTCCTCAAAAGCAGGACTGTGCCTTACCTGTCTTTTGTAGCACAATCAGCCCATATTGCATGTTTCAGCTGCTAAGCAGAGCAGGCTGCAGGACAACAGGTTGCCTCATCTGATCTTGCTATTAACCCATGAGGCAAGTGTGCTGCACACAATTTAGACTTGGGAGAAACAAGACTTTTGGGTTAAAAAAATCTTTCCAAAGTCGTAAGACTGATTAACAAGAAAACCAAGTATAACAAAGTCTGTGCTCTGAACCACAATACTGAGTTGTCTGAAATGCATATTTTATTTCAACACAAAAAGAGATAAACTAAGTAGTGATTATGTTCCCAAGTGAGAACAACAAAACAAACAAACAAAAAACACATATAACAGCAAAAAACATTACTTCATAATTGTAGTAAGATAATTCTTTTAATAGAGCCTACCCATTGATAGTGTCATTATTACAAGCAAGTCCCTTCACATTCCAATCTTGGGTTATAGTAAGAAAAGCCAAAGTGTCTTTCTTGCTCACACACCACTTAATACTCTGACACTAGATGTGTGAGAGTTTCTCCCCACATACCACATAATTCTCCAGCAGATGCCAATTGGGTATCCTACAATTTAACTCAATTCTGACACTATCTACCTGGATATTGCGTCAGATCCTTTAGGTTCAGGGCTCAGTCTCACAAGACTGCTCCTACTTCAGACACTAATCACAAGCCCCGGGCTGTGACCCATGCTTCTGACTGACTAGCTATAAACTGGGATTCCCATGACTTCTTCCTCGGGTTTGACTAATTTGCTCACAGAACTCAAGGAAGCACATTTATCCCTTTATTATAAAATATATGACAAAGGATACAGATGAAGATCCAGATGGAAGAAATGCATAGGGCAAAGGGCAAGGAACTTCCACACCTTCTCCAGCACACCTCTCCTCAGGAACCTCCACATGTTCCACTATCAGGAAACTCTTGATATCGAGCTATCCATTGGCACCAAAGGATTTTATTTATTGAGGCTTTATTTTTTTTTTTTTTTGAGTTGGAGTCTCACTCTGTCGCCCAGACTGGAGTGCAGTGGCCGCTCCTGGCCACCACAGCCTCGACCTGCTGGGCTCCGGCGATCCTTCCGCCTCAGCCTTCCAAGTAGCTGGAACTACAGGTAGCTGCGAGCTACAAAACCTTTCTAATTTACGTTGTTTTTTAATATGTGATAGGGCCTGCTCTCCTCAGCACTCGTAACTTTTAGAATTTTCTTAGGTAGTACATTGCTTAACTTTCTGTTTAAGCCTTAGGAAAAATTTCAGGCCCCAAAATAATATGGGCGGGTAATTGATGTACAGATAGGAGGTGCTGTCATGAGACTGGATGGAACCACCAAAAGTAACCATGAAGGGAGCCCATGACACAGAACCCCAGGACACACCAGAAGGGAAGCAGAGGAGCAGCCTATGAAGATGAACATAATTTAATTATTAATTGAGTCAAAAAAGAAATAACAGAAGTTCCACAAGGCAACAACCACTGATGCTTAGTAACCCAAGAAGCTCTACAATATCACAAGAAAAGAAAATCTTCCAGTCTTACCACCTTTCAATGCTACAGACTTTATAATATTCAAAACAGAGGACAGTGGGATTCTAGAAGACTGCTGCATTATCTACAACACTATCCATCAGATGATTTGTAAGCTCTCTCACAAGAAAAATAATACTGCAGTCACATGGGCTGACTAAGAAGTCAACCTCATTTTCTTGAAGTCAAGCAAATGTGGTTGAATAAATCTTTACTTGAGTAATTTGTCTGGCTTAGTTCTTGCTGGGATGGTTGAAGTAACTTCCATGGGCAGTAAACCCCCAACCCAAGCCTTTTCTCTATGGCATGCTTATGGCATACAGAGCTCCACTTTATATTAGTTATTCACATTCACTTTACCTCTTGTTTCTTCTCAGAGTCAAATTCAGGTCTCCTCATTTTGAATCCATCAAAACATCTAGCACAGAAATAACACATAAAACAAAGACTCTTTCTTGGAATGAGATGCAGATCATTGAGTGAGTGTGCACACAAGCAGATGCATAGCTGAACCATACCCCTAGGTGTAGCCCTGTGAGTCCCTGTCTGTCTGATACCAGGCCCAGGGCTCTGACCTGAATCATAAGCTAGCCAATGTTCTGAACAATTACTCAAAGTCACAGATGGGGTGATTTTA